TTATATCCACTAACATTAATAGACATTTAACACAAATTAGCTTATGAGAACAGTATTGGAAGAAGGGTTTCTGCATAACAGAGTGTGGTAAGAAGGGTTCAGGATAGGTTTGAGGACAGTTCTCACAGGGGGAATCAGGGTATCAACGCTGATAAATTTAAATGCTCTGAACTGGGGCACCTGTGTGACTCAGTCGGTTAAGCATTTGCCTTCGGCTCAGGTCATGATCTTGGGGTCCTGGGATCCAGCTCCCTGCTTAGTGCAGTCTGCCTCTACCTCTGCCTCTCTCTCCCACTCATTGAACTGGAAAGTAGTCATAGATGTTACATAAATGAATGGGTGTGGTTGTGTCCAATAAAACTTTATTTGCAAGACACAGTTTACTGACTCCTGATCTAGATTATAGAAGAGATACTATGGGGTTTCATATCACCAACCAAAGCAAAATGATGAAGATTAAAAACCATTTTACTGGTAAGATAAATTCTAATTTATCTGCTTCCATTCTGCTACACAGAAGATACCAAAGGTTTATAAATGTCACGTTCAGTGGGAAAAAAATAAGTTGGTTGAGGCAAAAATAAGGAATAGCAAAGTCTCAACAATTCCACTTGAATTTTACATTTGCAGCTGTTGCCTACTGACATAAAATGAAAGCAACGTTGTCAGAGCAAGAAATCATATAAATAAAACTCTCTGTAGGGTTATCATAGGCATAACTGGTTGTTACTTGGAAACTATTCCAGAGATGTCTTAGACTTAAGAATTCTCTGATATGGAGGGCCTTCTCCTTTCTTTGATTTTTTTTTTACTGTAAATACAGCAAAGATTTTATCTTCATTATTCTCAGATGCCCTAATGCCTCTTTCCATTGTAGAGCTCATCTTTTCAGTGAATCGTCATCAATGAGCCCAAGTTTCCAACAGCTAAGCAAATATGACCATGCCCAGAGATACTTGCCATTGAAAGGACTCAAACAAACCAGATCTTCAATGCATAAAAGAATGTCTCAACTTAAGGAATTTTTAGCAGACAGGAAAAAGGCATTGGTTTAAAGAATGTGACTTCAGGTCACTGAAATCACAGCATAGCCTAGGCATTGTCTGGGACTAAGCCTTTCCTGCATAGGCCATGCATATGGTCCGTTGGGCAGCACCATTTCTATTGTGAAGAAAACTGATTCAGCAAACTATCACGGCCTCCTGAAAAGTATTCCACAAGAAGATAAATGTCCTTTATTATCATTTTTTAAGAAATTATTTTATTCATTTTAGAGAGACAGAGGGTGTGTACACACATGGGCATTGGGAAGGAGCAGAGGGAGAGAATCCCCAAGTAGACTACCAGTGAGCACAGAGCCCAACTCAGGGCTCCATCTCACAACCCATGAGATCATGACCTTAGCAGAAAACCAGTTGCTCAACTGATTGAGTCATTCAGGTGCCCATACTATCATTTTAAAATGATTTTTAGCAAGCAGAGCTATGTGTATTACAAGATTCAACTGTAATGTCAACTGCTGACCCTCCATAGAGTTGAAAATCTATGTATAACTTTTGACTTTCCAGAAACTTAACTATTAATATCCTACTGTTTGACTGGAAGTCTTACCATTAACACAGTCATATAACACATATTTTGCATGTTATATGTATTATATACTGTGTTATTACAATAAATAAGCTAGAGAAAAGAAAATGTTATCATGAAAATCATAAAGAAGAAAGATTACATCTGCAGTGTATTCGTCCAAAATGTGAGTGTAAGCAAACCCACACAGTTCAAACCCATGTTGTTCAGAGGTCAAATGTATTCGGGCTTCCCAGGAAGACTTTGTGTTGTGAAAGGTGCTATTCTGAAATGAGTATCCAACTGGCTGAGTAATAAGCAATCAGTCACTTATGGGGTGCCTCCTGTATGCCAGACACTGTGCTATCCTGTCACCTTTAAAAAGATTGATTATCAAGGCAGCTAAGGAATTTGGTCTCAGCAAATGACAAAGCCAGGAATCAAAGGCAGGTCTAACTTTGAAGTTGCATTTCTCTCCGCTACCATTTTATTTCTCTCATTATGCAGAGAACTAGAAACACTCTGATTTATAAAACGTCTTTGGTGGAATTTAATTAAAGCGGCTCAATTTCCCAGAGTGGCACTGAGACATTTCTGGTGGCACTGAGACAACTGAGTGTAGAGCTTGCCGTATAGAGAACCAGACAGGGAACAGAACTCTCTCCCCATAAAAAAAAAAAAAAAAAAAAAAAACCTTTATACAATTTGTCAATTTCTTGGCTGTATTAGCAGACAGGGTATAAGTAGTGGATATGACAACAATGCCTTTTACTAGTCTTGAAAAAGACATGCAGCAATCCTTGGGTGTGGAATCTAGTAGCAAGTCAAGTGACTCTATAGAAATCTTCATACAGTTCTCTACATCAGTGCTAAATATTATATCTTGGGCCACTTGTATCTAAGTATCAGCTGAAGCATTTATATTTTATGGGCCTAGCATAGCCCCTGGAATTTAGAAACCCAGTAAATAATAGTTACAGAAACTAATATTGTATGGAGCCCAAAAAGCAAAGTGATACTTCAAAAATTGTGTTCAGTTCAAAGCCCTGAGAACAGACCAAATGCTAGCAGGTCTCATAAATCTCTTAAAACTTTTTTCAGAAAATAGGTTGACTGATAAATAAAATCATCCTGATGACACCAACCCTGAATATTTCATAACTATTACAGGGAGGAGTTTTAGAGGATTGTCTGTATATCTATTCTTTGGCCACGACAAATAGAAGAATGGAATATAGGGGAATTCAGCTTCTACATTTCAGGAAGGATAGTCTTTTTGAACCTATCCTAAGACACTTCACCTTGAATGTTAATTTCTTATTGAACTGGAATCTCTGACCCAGGTTTTGCATGCACTTGGAGCTATAGTGGGTAGCCTTTGGGTATTTATACTCAATTTCTTACTGCCCGCCCCCTCTGCCCAAGGTCCCAGAACAGAGGATGACCCAGAACATCTCTTTTTGTTTGTTTGTTTTCCCATTGGGAGGGGAGAAGAGGGATAAACTAGGGCAACAATTTACAATAGTGAATTTCCCACAGTGTGATTTTCTAGATAATTTTTCCATATTCATCTTGATATTCAGAACATTTCAATTATTTCAATTTTTTCTACTTCCACTATATTTTTTATAGATTATTAGAAAAAAAATCCTTGCTGATTAAAAAAAAACACAGTTAAATAAATATGTTGATGTTTTTTGTTTTTGTTTTTATTTATTTATGATAGTCACACAGAGAGAGAGGCAGAGACACAGGCAGAGGGAGAAGCAGGCTCCATGCACCGGGAGCCTGACGTGGGATTCGATCCCGGGTCTCCAGGATCGCGCCCTGGGCCAAAGGCAGGCGCCAAACCTCTGCGCCACCCAGGGATCCCAATATGTTGATGTTCTTAAGACCCTTTTCCCAAGTAGTGTCATTTCATGAATTAATGATCCTGGAATTTATGCCATTTATACTATTTTACTTTTCAGTGTATATTCATTCTCTTATAAAGTAGGATTCTAAGAAGTGAATATAAAAGTGACAGGTATATATCTGGAGAAGATAGTATTGCCACAAATGAGTTAATCCAATCAATTTGAGCATCAGAAGCAGAAATCATTAAATTATTTAATCTTTATTATAGAAAGTAATTGTAGAAAGTTCTTTAGCCCAATACCTTTCAGATATAAATATTGGGAGTATATTTGATCCTTGCCTCTTGATATTCTCACCTTTGTGTGATTCACTCCCACATCATACCACTGTTGGTCTGTGTGACTAATAGCATATGACAGAAATGATATCACTTCCACAATTAAGCTATAAAAGACTGAAATTTCCATCCTTTCATCTCTGTTTTTCTCTCTCTTTCTACTTCTATTCTACCTATCTCATCACTCACTCTAGGAGATGCCAGTTGCATTGTTGTGAAAACTTTCAGGCAGCTCACGCATAAGGAACAAAGGCATCAGCCAACTTCCAGCAAGAAACTGAGGCCCGTTAACATCTATGTGAGTGAGCTTAGAATCAGAGTCTTCAGCTCCAACAGAATTTGAGATGACTGCACCACACTGGGCAGGTTGATGACAACTTTAAGAGAGACCTTAAACCAGAACATCCTGACTCGTAGAAACTGTGTAAGATAATAAATGTTGTTTTAAGCTGTTACATTGACAGTAATTATCCATGCTACAATGGATAGCTAATATAATTGTCAAAATTGAACAGAAAAAAGCACGCAAAGTTTTTGAAGCTTTAATACTTTGAACTTATCACCACTACAACAATTTTCTTCTTTAAACTGAATTTGTATGATGGTATTAGTGCTTGCCATGATGATTGCTGTTTCTAAATTCCCAGGGGTTTATTTTCTACTGGGTCTTTTTTTGGAAGTCAGTTAAGTCACCCAAAAATCACCAGATGAATTTTACTCAAATATTTATTGTAGTATTTTTTAAGAAAAACACCTGCCACAAAAATGTTTATTGCAAAATGCTGTATTGCTGGTATGGATCCCGGCTCTCTTTTCCAGAAGGGCATGTTTTGTACAGCATTGGGCAATTTCAGGGCTATGTGGATTGTCTACCAGTTGAGAGATGCTTTGAATTAAAAAGTGCTCTTCATTTCACTAAATTGTATAATGTCAACAGATTCTGCTCTTACTGAAAAAGAACACTTAAGGTCAGATTAACTACATGATTTCATCAATGTGATTTTCTGATTTCCAAACTCCAGAAGATTTTCAATGTCTGATGGTTTCACTATCAGTTCATCACCAGTGCTTCTCTAAGAGGATCTAGTTGAGTCTTGGGGAACCTGGCTAGCTGGATATCCTTAACCAGGTAACCATTTTGTATTTTGTATAAGATTCAATTTGTGGTGGAAATACAAAAGAAGGGGATTGGAATTTGTATTCATTTGCTAGGGCTGCCATAATAAAGTACCATGGATTAGCTTAAACAACAAAAATTTATTGTTTCAAGATTCTGGAGGCTAGAAATATAAATCAAATTGGTATCAGCAGGGTTGATTCTTCTGAGGGCCTCTATCCTTGCCTTGTAGATGTCCATCTTCCTTTGTGTCTTCATATAGTTTCCACTCTGTGCACGTCTATGTCCTAGTCCTCTCTTCTTACGAGAACACCAGTGATATTGGTTTAGGGTCCACCCTAATGCTGTCATTTTACCTCTTTAAAGACCCTATCTTCAAATATAGTCACAGTCTGAGGTGTGAAGTTCAACTTCAATATATGAATTTGAGAGGGCACAAAATTCAGTCTATGAGACTTGAAATATACTGTTTGGATAAACTAAAAGAGCAAATAAGTAAAATCATTGGAAGACTTAAAGCAGAGCTGAATAAGAGATATGTTACAGTACAAGTGGGAATGGATTCAAATTTATTATAAGTGACAAGGCTCAGAAATTGTATAAGAAATAATACAAGAATCAGGGGCACCCAGGTGGCTCAGTCAGTTAACCGTCCAATTCTTGATTTCGGCTCAGATCATGATCTCAGGGTCATGAAATTAAGCCCCACATCGGATTCTGCACCAGGTGAGGAGAATGCTTAAGATTATCTCCCTCTGCCCCTCCCTCCCACTCATGTGCTCTCTCTCAGAAAGAGAGAGAGAGAGAGAGAAGGAGAGAGGGGAAAGGAAGGGAGAAGGGAAGGAGGGAGGGAGAAAGAAAGGAAGGAAAGAAGGAAAGAAGGATTCAAGAATCAATAGCAACAAAACAGTTAATCATGGAGAATTTCCATGATTCCATGTGTGTATTAAAAGAGCATCATGAATTATGCAGAGGAAATAAAAATTACAGTTAAAAAGCATATCAGAACTATCATAAAATACATACATACGGCTTAAAGAAATCCAGAATGAACAAGTAATCAGAGCTGGGTACAGATGTAGTAAATACCATTTTGAAAAAAATAGATTCACTACTTGTAACATTTAACTTTAAGAAAAATCACTTTAAAACAGGCTAGTAAGTTTGCCACAGGGGAAAATATCAGATAGTATGTTCATATCAGTAGTTCTCAGTTGATTTCCAGGAAAAATTTGAAAATAAAAACTAATAGGCATTCTCTCAGAATTTTAGAACATATTAAATGCAAAAAAACTTTTGTGTATCTTATAGTAAATAAATATCAATCATGTTCAAAAATTATCTTCACTTATTTGGGGCATTAATCTACTTAGCACATTTGGTTGTAAGTTAATCAGGGTAATCTTTTGTGTGTATGTGTATCTGTGATGGCATATCATACAAAGCAAATAAAACTATCTTATTTCTCCTTTTATGAAAGAATTACAAGAAAGACACTTAAAGGCAATTTGCCCACTGAGATGTTTTAAAGGTTTTCAGTACTAAACTCCATTGTTATTTAACACTTCAGAGCAGGAGTCAACAAACTGTTTCTATTAAAGGCCAGGCAGTAAATATTTGCAGCTTTTCTGGCCATAGGGTCTGTGTCATAACAACCCAACTTCAGCACCATAGCATAGGAACAGCCATCAACAACACTTAAAGAATGTGGTGTGTTCAATCAAGCTTTAGGTATGGAGACTAAAACTTGAATTTCAGATCATTTTCATGTGTCACAAAATATTATTCTTCATTTTACTCTTCTTTGGTTTTCAACCACTTAGAAACTTTCTTAGCTCACAGGCTCCACAAAATCAAATTCAGTAAGTGCTTGGTTTAGAACTACCCTATTAATATACTTGTAGGCTGATAAAATAGGCAAAACACTACAGAGACACTGAAAAATGTGCAAAAATGTGAAGACGCGCTAATAGATTCCTAGGTGCAAGCCTAGTTGCCTTCTAGAGTACATTATTGCTAGGTATAGAGCCAAAACCAATTAGCTAAGGTTGAGTTCACTGATTTTCTAACTGAAATATGCATGGTGGCTAAGCCATGAGAAAATGTTTATACTTTAGACAATCAGAAGTAGTATAACTTTAGCAATAAATATATCACACATGCTTTTATTGTGATAGTCACACAGTTATAATAGCTAGCACACATACCAGACCCAGAAACTTGCCTAAGGACTTTAAATGTATTCAATTATTTAATTCTCATCCCAAGAAATCCTGTAAAATATGGGTAAAACTGTTACTCTCATTTTACAGATTTTACTTTCAAAATTATGTCACAGTTTATCTGGCATCTATTATCTGGGGTGTGTGTGTGTGTGTGTCTAAAAAACAGTGAACTATATATGTAAATATACTTGTATTTGCTTGTACAAGAGACCATGACCACTGTTATGGTCTTCAATCTTTTCTCATCCATCATTTTTTAAATTACACAAAATAAAAGAGATCAAATGAAAATATTCTACCAACTTAATGAGCACACAATTGGTATTATGACTAAGAGCATTACTCCTGGTACTTGTGACCTGGGATCTGATGAAGCCTTTAATGTCTGGTCCTTCTCATATATTCTCCCAAACAGAGTCACGGTCAAGAGGGGTCCAGATAGTGGCTTCATGCTAAACAACCGTCCATCACTTGACACCTAATTAAAACACAGAGGAGTTGACTGAGTCTCCCTGTAAGTTATACCACCCCACAACAGCTTCTAAAATTCAGTACAACTAGGTGAAGAAACAATAAAAATAATGTTGTTGAAATGGTATAGAGTATAAGAAGAATCAGAGCCATGGAATCAGCACTGATTCATTTATTATTGAAATGGCCATAATCAATATCTTATCATTTACTTATTTGAAGAAGTATTCCATGAGTCGACAAGCCTAAAGCAATGGGTTTGGGAGTATCTAAGAGAAATCTGGTCTAGTCCTCTCAGACATAATAGGCTCCTCCAAGTGGACAGAGGGGATTGATTGAGGGGATTTGAGCTGAGCCTCTGTCATCTCTGCCACTCACTCACCACAGTCTCCCAACCTGTTCATTGTCCCTAGTGCCCCACAGTACCTATTCCTACAAGGAAGGGGGAATAAAAGCAAAACCCACAGGAATGTCAAGGGAAGAATATGGCTGGGCAGAGCTTGTATGTTAAGGAAATATTTCTGGACTTTCAAAAAAGTGATAGCTTTCTTGCCTATTTCAGCCATTGTCAGATTCTCTCTCCTCAGCTGTTCCTTCTTTCTTTTTCACTCATGAATCACAGAAGGCCTTCCCCGCACAATGAGGGGAATTCTCTTTAACTCTGCTATCACTGCCCAAAAACTGAAGAGTTTCCCTCTGGTGGGGCCAATCCTGAAACCCTGCTTGAATCTTCTTCCTATTCAACAGATCCCAAACAGCTCAGCCTCTTTCTAATAGTCTCCACAATAATATATATATAGTGATATTTGTAAACACTTAAGAAGGTTTTGTACTCAAAAAATGTTTCCTCTTACATAAAATGAATTGTCAATATTAAGCAAAAGTTCTTACCTGAAATTCTCCGGGTGCAAGCTGAGTTTCACTTAGCAACACCTCAGGGAAAACATACTGGGTTCCAAAAGTACCACTGAGGGAAAACATTTCAAACCTGGTAGAAGCAGTTTCAACTGCGCCGCCACAAGTATGTACATGTGCTGTTTTACATTTCAGCAGAGTACAAATCTAGGAAAGTAAATGCAAACCAGTAAGCCTTAAGCATATACCCTCCAGAACTAGAAATCATATCTATGCCCCTTTGTTTGATAAAATACTTTTTTTCCATTACATTAATCCAGTTCATTGATACATAGCTACTTCAGCTAGTAATAAAAATAAAGGACTTCAGACCCTACCTAGTGCTTTCTGCAACTCACAAACAGATTAAATTTCTTAAAGCAACGATCAGACACCTCATCTTTAGCCGTGAACAGATGTACCCTCATCATTCTCAAGCTAGCAATGCTTTTATAATCAAATATTCTATTTTTTAAAGGATACATCTAGACACTATAATCTCTACATTTTTGCCTATCTGACACAATAAAAGAACTTTAAAGTTGAAATGAACCCTAGAGTTGATCTAGAGACAATCCCTGTGAATTGGAAAAGTCATATACTTTATATCTAAGCAAGAACTGACACAGTTCTCACTGTACTACATAGTTATACTAACTACACTGGCCTGCTACATACTTATTGAATGTAAACTTTAAGTATATGAGTCATCTCTCTGTGCAGATGCAAAGTCCTCAAAAGGAAGACCCTATTTATTTAACTCTATCTTGCTGCATCTTCCAAGTCTTATTTCAAACCACCTTCACCTCCTGCCTGACTAAAGCAATAATCTCTAACTGGTCCCCCTGCTTCTACTTTTGAAGTTGGAGAATAAATGCTTTAGAGCAAATGTGTTAAGATGGGATACAATTAGATTTCAGGTTAAGGTAAAATGAATATATGCTCTTATTTTCTTGACATCTTACTGAAACCAACATTAGGTTTTTGTTTGTTTGCTTGTTTTTTAAAGACATAAACTCACAAGGACAGAATGGGAGGATAGATCATGGTACAACGTTGGAAGCTGGGGTGGTTGATGCAGAAGTAGCAAATGATTTAGCAGACCTAAAAAGAAAACCAAGTCCTAAACTGGCAATGGGAGAGCCAAGAATCAACCCTATCTACACTGCAGAATACTCAGAAGATTCCATTCCTGGAAGTGCCTCAGGAGCCAGTAAAGAACTGGCTAAAGTAAGGAAAATTTGTGGGAAGTTAAGGATGTCTCAGATACTGAGTCCCCCATCATGGATGTGCACCTGTCCTTACCTTCTTCCCATAAAAGATGGAGCATTTATTTCCAGAAAGGGTAAAGCAGATTATGTTTAGTGGAGGTTTTAAATAACCTAGTTGAAAGGGATTACATGAATGAAACCTAGTAAATGTTGTGACCATCTCCTTCCCCCATGGCCACATCCGGCAAGGTCATTGCTCCCACCTGGCTCTCGAAATCCTGCCAGCAAATAATTAATCCTTTAGAAATAAAATTGCCAGATAATTACAGGAAAGGAGTCTTGTTAAATTTGAAGTTTAGATAAACTAAAAATACCAAAAATAGTTTTCAATTTAAGTATGTCCCAAATATTGCATGGAACATACTTGTAGTCTTGTTAAATTTGAAGTTTAGATAAACTAAAAATACCAAAAATAGTTTTCAACTTAAGTATGTCCCAAATATTGCATGGAACATACTTGTATCATATTTGTTGTTTACCCAAACTTTGAATTTACCAAGCCATCTTGTATTTTAGTTTGCAAAATTAAGCAACACTATTAAGGAAGGGAATTAGAAGAATTTTAAAACCTGAGTAACCTGACCCATCTCAAGAGGAAGTCTCCAAATGTACTTAACTCAGGGATTTCTTTAACAAAAGGCCTGGCTAGTTATTCTCCAGTGAAGCTTAAAATTGGCAAGTATCACTCCTATGCTCAACTTTTCAGTCAGTTTTTGGTAATGTTAAAGGGTAACCCTATATATGAGGAAAGCTTCTAACATGAAAGGGAGAGCAAAACAAGTAGATAAAGGAAATTTGAGGGGAAAAGAAACCATTTAAGGGGAAGAAACTCCAAGGAAAAAAAGATTTCCTTAATAGCCTCAGAGAGTTAAATACTGTATCCAGAAAACATCAGCAAAAAAATACAAAAACTCATAAAGCAAAAAAGTAATTCTTCAAAAATAAAAACATGTCAGCAAAAATAAAAGACTCAATGCAAGCCTTGGAAGATCAAGAGGAGAAAAACTCTCAGAAAGCAAATGGAGAAAATGAAAATAAATAGCAAAGAAAAGTTTAAAAAATTAGAAGACCAATCCAAAAGACACATGTCTCCGATAACAGGACTTCCAAAAGAAGAAATGGAGGGGAGGAAATTCTAAAAGATTTCTGAGAAACCAGGAGGAAGAGGGATACATATACAAAGGATCAGGAATCAAAAAAACTCAAGAATTCTCATTGTAGCAATACAATGACCTTGATTTCCATACCTAGGGATATACTCTATTAAATATGAAAAGAAAGGCATTTTCAGTCTTTTAAGTTGAAAACATTTCATCACCCACTCACTCTCTTCCCAGAACTTAGAACAAAGGAAGTGTGTAGTATTGTGATTTATAGTAAGAAATATATATTCGGTCTTTTTCCAGTTCCTGACATAGAAGGCCCTAAAATCCTTGGAATTTGGTTAGTGATAAGAGGGGAAATGTGAAAGGAGGCACTTTTTTTATTCATAATGAGCCTCTTTCCACCACACCTGAGTTCATGTTAATGATGAGATTTTTGGAAAGCCTTTAATAACCACAGAATGGAAATGGTTACCATCTGGTAAGAGAGTTGGAATCTCTCTGGGGAGGAGAGAGGAGCTGGAGGTTAAATTAATCACCAATGGTCAATGATTGAATCAATTGTGTCCATGAAATTAAGCCTCCATAGGAACTACTAAAGATGGGGTTTAGAGAGATTTCAGGCTGGCAAACAAGAAGGCCATATTTACATGCCAGGAAGGTGGCACAAGCCAAAAACTCCATGGGGACAGAAACTCCTATGCTTGGGACACTTCCAGATCTTGCCCTATGTATCATGTCCTCGATTGTTCATATGTATTCTTTAAAATGTCCTCTGTAATAAATTGTTAGTAGTACATAAAGCATTTTCCTGGGTTCTATGAGCCATTTCAGAACATTAGCAAATCCAAGGCAGGGATATGGGAACCCCTGATTTACAGTCAGGTCAGAAAGCACCTAGACTTGCCACGAGTCTCAAGTGGAGAGGGGACCAGACTTGTGAGACCAAGTACTCTGTGGACTCTGCATTGGCTCCAGGTAGATGGTGTCAGATGTAGGCTGCTCCTTCTCCCACTCTCCCATAACAACTGCTATAAATCTTTATCCAATATTTTACCATCTTCTACTCTAAAAAATGCTACAAGCACCTTCTTTACCCACGTCCTTAAAATTCACTCTAGAATACTTGGAAAATCTCTGTGGCAAGATGTGGAGTTATTGTATCCTTATTTCCTTTAATTTCTCTTCTCTCAGTTAAGAAATAGATTTTGGTGTTAGAGATTTTTCTAGCATTAATTATCATCACAGTTAGACTATAAAAGATTATGAATATAATACCAAAATCCCTCATCCTCAATCCCAAGATCAGGCTTCTCTAAAAATAAAGGCTTTGTAGCATTTGACATTGTGACCTAATCTGAACTAATATAAGGCTATTATGTTTTTATTTAAGCTATTTAGGGTAAATAGTCCCATGTTTTCCATCAGTCATATTAACATGTTTGATTTGGGGTGCTGCCCCAGATTCTGCTGGTGATACTGGGTACCATGGCTCCAGGTGAATGTTCCATAAATACTTCAAAACCAACATCCAAAATGATCTGAGCATCTCCCCACTGCCACTCAATCTGCTCCCACTCTAGCATTCTGATCTGTCAGAGCATTATATTCACCCAGCTACTCTTGCCAGAAACCTGGCACACTCCAGTTGCCTCATTCTGCTTTCCTATTCTGTATCAAATTAACTACTAAGTTAAGTTTTCTAAATATTGCTTGACTCCAAACCCTGCTCTTATTCCAACATAATCTTGGTACAGGTCCTGATAGGACTATTCTAGTAATCTAAGTAGCCTTTTTGCCTAGTTTCATCATGCCACAGTGAGCTACTCAACAGCAGATCTGATAACATCATTCCCTTGCTGAACACCTTCCAAAAGAAGACTGTCACCCAGAAAATAAAGTCCAAACTTTAGGAATGACTGGTAAGATTCTGTCAAATGTGATCCTGCCTCTAGGTTCATCTTCCACCAACCCTTGTTTCTTACATTATGCCTTAATAACAATGACCTGCATACCCTACTTCTTGACACATCCACACACTTGCTCAAATTCCATTCTGTCTAGAATTTCCTTCCATTCTTTTCATTTGGATAAAAGCATAAGTCTATATATCATGTCTCTGGAAACTTCCCTGAATCTCCAGATTAGGCCAGGTAGAGCTTGTTAGTATTCCTACAACAAAATGTGGATTCTAAGTTCTATCACATGCTACCTGTATTGACCTTATTTATTCATATGTCTATCCCTGCTACTAAATTCTTCAAGAGAAGGGCCTTTACTTATTCATCTTCATATCCAGTAGCACTGAATATATACCTACTATGCAGTAGGCACTAAAATAAATCTCCAAATGAGCAAGCATTGGTAAAGTGTTTGTCATATAGCAAACAGAATATTGTACAATGGGTTTAGGTCCAGCACTCAATAGTTTTCAGTCTTAAATGAGTATTTGGATAATTTCACATAATATGTCCTTGATAAAGCTGGGCATAGGATGCCTGAAGTACCTAGACCAGGTAGGGAGGTGGGAGTGGTGCTACAGAAAATGCCAGGGCAGCCTTCTTGGTGAAGACAACACTTGAAAAGCACTGTGAATGGTGAATAGGTGGAGCCATCATAGATAAAGGAAACCACCTGTGCACACATGCATAGGGTCTGCAGATGCCCACACAATGGGGAAGAGGAAAGGTCTCAATATGAGAGAAGCCCAGGGCACATGTGAGAGAAGTGAGAGAAGACAATGGAGACTAGGAAATGGCACATGTCAAGAATTTATGTTTTGTTAAGGAATTTGATTTGCCCACTAGAAGACAGTGAGGAATTTTAAGCAAGAGAATAAAATAATCAGAAATGGCTTTTAGTAATTTTTGTAACTAGAGTGCAAGAAATGGATTGGATGGGGCTGAAATGTCAACAGGAAGCCTTGAAATAGGATGGGAGCCAGTTTAGGGAAGAGGAGAACAGAATGAGAGGAATATGAAAGTTGTTTGCTCATAGGGGTCACACCTCACCAGGCTATAATAGTTCCCCCTTTAATGTTGAGGGAAGTGAACTATCTACTACATATCTCAGAGGTCAACTGTATATGTCTCCAGGACATACTTAGTGTCAAGCTCTTAATGAAACATGCAATGATAAGCTTTAGTGGACATATCAAAAAAATGGATACATTTATTCAGGAAGGAAATATGAGAGGTTAACAACCATTAAAGTCATCTGTAACTTAATTATTATATCATTTTAAATACAGGTACTGTAAATAAATCTTCTGCCTTTTCTCTAGCCAGTTTCAAATGAGACTGACAACTAGGATTTCAAGTTTTAGCACATAAAAATTCAAGATGCCCAACTAAACTCAAATTTCAAATAAAATTTTTAGTGTACATGTATCCAAAAAATTGAGGCATACTTATAATAAAAATAATTCATTGTTTATCTGCAATTCAAATTCAACTGGGGGTCCTGTATTATATCTGGTTAACTTCCCTGCAACCAAAACAATCATTACCTGTAAATAATACCTCCCTTCGACAACATGTAGTCCATCAAACGCCCCTAGGGCATAAACTTCATCTGTTCTCTTTTCAGACATCTTGTAGCTTAGATGACAGCAGAGTTTTTTCTGACAAACTGTGTAATTTCCTGTGACTCTTGTGAGCTCCAAGAAGGTGAATTCATCAAAAAAAGCAGTACCTGTAAATTCCTGATTTTCTGTTGGGAATGCTTTTATACTACTGGCATAAGAAGTCCAATTCACCACAATAGGGTGATGTGTATAAGAATCCAGTTGTGAGAGGAGAAGTTTTCCCTCTTTTGTCTTCATATCATAATGAAATGCTCTTGGAGAATCGGGTGCATAGATGCCACTTCCTGAAAGTGATGTTGGAAATAGCATTTAAAATAGAAAAGTGAAATGGAATTGCATAGTTGTTATTGTTATTTTAAACTCACATTACCATTTACTCTAAGTTATATACATCATTAATTATAGTAAAATATATTGAAAAGGACAACAAGTGAGAAGAAATCAAAGTATGATACTAAAAGGCCAATAAGAGAAACTTTCATGTAAGAAGTGGTGAATTTTTGAAGGGGAAAAAAAAGTATACATATAAATGGAAAAAAAAACTAAATAAATCTACAAAACAATTTGGGCTGAGACTGATTCTACAGTATGTCACCAGCTAGATATGCAAAAATTAAGAAAATATTATATTAAGGAGTATACATGTTAGCTAGAAAAAATATTTTTTCTTGTACTTTTTTGATTACAAAAGTTTGTAAATTTTAGAGCTTACACATTACCTGTCATTCTTTTTGAGGGGTGATGTATATTGGATGCAAGGAAGTTGACTCCCATGCCCATTGCCCAAGCTGAGTGGAATTGAATAGCTGATAAATGTGGCAAAACATTCATCCATGCTGTCGGGAAGACTATGGTATCCACATGGAAATCTTTCACCAGAGTAACAGCAGGATCATAGAAGAGTATATCAAAGCATGTGAAAATGCCAAATCTTCCAAAGATGGTGTCAAAAGTCACAATCTCAGGTTTCTTGGGTACATTGAATTGATTTTCACCCATGAAAAGGTTGTGCTGTAAGAAACGGAAGATGAAGTGGGTAAAAGTCTCTTTTCAGAAGTTGGCCTGGGTGTTACTGTGCCTGAAAAGGTGCAAGCCAACATCTCTTACTGCCAATTTAATCCATGACCACTGTCTTCACAGGGAAAAAGTGTAAGAGAATCAGAGATTACTACAACTGATAGGAGCCTTTGGTTCAATATCCACATTTTATAGATATGTAGAAGGAAATCCTTAATTATTAAGGCCCTCTTGAATCTTAGAAAGACATAGGAGTGAAATAGATAACTTCTATTTGCCAAGAACACTTAACTCTTTTCTGTGGAGAAAGAACTTTCTTTGCTTCTTTCTCTTCAAAACCAAGTCTATCTGGTAGGTAGTTTTTCCTTCTAGTCTTGACCCAATGCCAAGGCATGTCTTTAAAAGGACAAAGTCTAAAAGGCAACATTATATGTCAATGCAGGTACCTCCTGCTGATTTTCATACACTTCCACAGATATATTCCTGTGTTCCTAAATGCATAGGAAGCCTCCTGAGCCTCTTCATAGGAGCTTACCACACCTAATCATACTTACTATGCTTTGTCTCTAGTCTGCTTCTGAAGTGTACTTTTTACCAACACTAATTATTTTTCTTTCTTGTCCACTTTATTTTGTTAAATACTTAGTAACTGAACTGTTTGCAAATTAATTTTACCTTATGGTAGCGTGCCACCAGTTTTCCCTGAGAATCAAACACCACATCAGTGTTGTATTGATAACGACCATCGAGGGGACACTGAGAGTCACTGGCATTGCATGGCTTCTTATCTCCAATATTAGCTACAATGTAGATAGAGTTGTCCTTGGCCAGGCAGCTGAGTCTTTCTTGCACTGGGGTGTAGCCAAACCTGATATGTGTTTATTGGAAAAAGAAAACAAAAATGAAGCTTATCTTTTAATAAAATTCAGAATTATGTTGTCTAAACCTATTATGTTATATACGTGAAAATAAATTCTAAATAAAATCATAGAAGGGAAGGATTAAAACAAGAATAGATTTCAGAGGAAGTACATGCTTGTGAGAATTTGGTTGTAGGAAACTCTTCTAGGACAAGATTATAGGCCATGTATTTTTTTCATCAGAGCATTTGTCATCATATATAATAATCATGTATTCATTATGTGTTTGTCTTAAGATGTGTGTCACATCTCATGGATATTTGGGAGCAATGATACACATCTTCTGTTCACTAACCCTGGCAGAAAAGAGGAATAAAAAAATATTTCAAGTGAAAGAATGAAAACTTGGAATTACAATTCCAGATGGCAGAGTAGGAAGGACCAGGAATACATCCGTCCACCTAGATAATATTTGTATTGGCAGAATCTAACCTATGCAACTATTTTGAAATTCTGAAGTCTATCCCAAGGCTTGTAAATTCCAAGGGAAGGCTTGGAAGGCAAATTGTAGTCAATTGCAGTCAATTTCAGCTCTTAGCTCAGCAAAGGCTACCCATGCTTTACCCTACATCCATGCAGGTGCCTGGAGGACCATGCAGGCAGCTTATTGGGACCAGGTTGGACAATAAAAACCCTGTCCTCCAAATATCAGGGATCTGTGCTCTGATCACTGATATGTGCTTCTGATCATGGAGGTGCAGACACAAGGGTAGGCAGCCATTTTTGTACCCCATTACCACCACAACTACCATATTATTGCAAGTCCTTCCCCTACTAGCTGAAGTAATTTCTAGAGGATTTAAAGAGCCATGGTTGTCTTCTCTCTCCCTTCCTTAATTTTGTCCTTTTTCTCTTTTGGGAGTCAGACATTTAAAGACTAGGACATAAAAAAGCAATAATATACACAGGAGAATTTAGAAAGTCAACACATGTGGTCAGGGAAAGACACAGGCTAAGAAAAGCCCTCAAAAGATCTTAATTTTACACCTCAAGCTTATGCCTAGAACAGAAACAGCCTACAGGAATCAAAACAAGCAAACAAACAAAAGGCACTAAACCCTGAGGAAGGGGAAGAATTTGATATCCAGAATGATCACATTTAAGATTCAAATATCAATTTATCAACAAAAAAATCACAGGCATGCAAATAAACAAGAAAGTATGGCCCATTCAAAGGAAAAAAAAAAAGAATAAACTAATGAACCTACAGAAATCATCCTATGGAAAGACCACATGGCAAACCTACTGGACAAAGACTAAAACAACTGTCTTAAAGATGCTCAAGAATTACAAGCAAGTGTAGAAAAAGTCAAGAAGATAACATATTAACAAAATGGAAATATCAGTAGGGAGATGGAAAACCTAAGAGGAACCAAAAAGAAATTCTGGAGCTGAAAATTACAATGACTAAAATAAAAAATTTACAAATGGTATTCAAAGATGAATTTTAGCTGAAAGAATCAATAAATTTAAAGGTAAGCCAACTGAAATAATCAAGTCAAAATAATGGAAAGACAAAAAGATTGAAGTGAACAAGGCCTAAGGGAGCTGTGGGACACCACAAAGTGGACTAATACACAGATTATATGAGTCCAAGAAGAGTGAGATAAAGAGACAGAGAGATTATTTGAAGAAATCATATCTAAGAACTTCCCAAATTTAATTAAAGACATGAATATAAATAACCAAGAAGTTCAATGATCTCCAGGAAGGATGAACTCAAAGACACCCATACCAAGACATGTAATCAAATTGTCAGAAGCCAAACACAAAATAAGGATTTTGAAAGCCACAAAAGATAAGTGATTCATAACATACAAGGAATCCCCAATGAAATTATCAGCAGTTTTTGATCAGACACTTTAGAGACCAGAAAGCAGTGGGCCAATATATTTAAAGTGCTGGAAGAAAAAAAAAATGTCATCTAAGAATCTGGTATCCAGCAATACTGTTCAAATGTGAGGGAGAAATTAAGACACTCTATGCTAATATCTGGCAAAATAGATTTTAAATTAAAAAAAGATTACAAGAGACAAAGAAGGACAATTTACATTAATATTCACAATACAAGAGAACTCTTAAAATTCAACAACAATCTGATTTAAAAATGGGCAAAAGACTTAAATAGTCTTTTCTTAAAAAAACAAAAACAAACAAAAAAGAACCAGCCAGGCAAATGGCCTATAAGCATGTGAAAAGATGCTCAACCTCACTAATCACTAGGAAAATGCAAATCAAAACCACAATGAAATGTCACCTCACACCCTTTAGAATGTCTACTATTAAAAAAAAAAAAAAAGGAAAATAACAAGGGTTTCTAAGGATGTGGAGAAATTGGAACACAAAGGCGCTGTTGGTGAAAATGTAAAAATGACATGATTAGGAAAAGAACTGCCAGGAAACCAGTTTGGTAGTCCCTCAAAAAATTAAAAATAGAACCAGCATATGATTTAGCAGTTACACTTCAGGATATATTTCCAAAAAATTGAGAGCAGGGTCTTGAAGATACATCTGTATACTTATGTTCATGGCAACATTATTCACAATACCTAAAGGTGGAAGTAACTCAAGTGTCCATCAATGGATGAAAGGTAGTAAAATGTGGTATACATACACAGTAGAATATTATTCAGCCTAAAAAGGAAGGAAATTCTGACACGTGCTATAACATGAATGAACTTTGAAAACATTGTGCTAAGTGAAATAAGTCAATCACAAAAAAGTAATATATAGGTAGCTAGCATAGTCAAGAGTAGCCAAATTCATCAATATAGAAAGTAAAGTGATGACTGCCAGGGGCTACAGAGATGGGGAAATAGGGAGTTATTGTGTTCTTTCTCCAGCTTTACTGAAATATAGTTGATATTTAACATTGTGTGAGATCAAAATATAAAATGTGATTTGATACATGTATATATTAATGTTTACCACAATTAGGTTAACACATTCTTTAGTATAATTACTGTTTTATTGTTAATACGGTGAGAGCATTTAATATTCACTCCCATTGCAACTTTCAAGCAAACAATAGAGTATTGTTAACTATAGTCACCATGATATACATTAGATCTCTGGAACTTATTCCCTCTTATAACTAGAAGTTTGTATCCTTTGCCTAACTTTTGTCTCATTTCCCCCACCATCAGCCCCCAGCAACTATTATTCTCTCTGCTTCTATAAGTTTGGCATTTTTAGACTCTACTTATAAGTGAGATAATGCAGTTTTTGTCCTCTGCCTGGCTTAGTTCACTTAGCATAATGTTCTCAGGGTTCGTCCATGTTGTTGCAAATGGCAATATTTCTTTTTCATGGCTGAATAATATTCCATTGAATATATGTATATAACACATTTCTTTATCCATTCATCTGTTAAAGGTCACTTCATTGTTTCTATGTCTTGGCTATTGTAGAAAATGCTGCAATAAACATAGAGGTGCAGGGATCCCTGGGTGGCGCAGCGGTTTGGCGCCTGCCTTAGGCCCAGGGCGTGATCCTGGAGACCCGGGATCGAATCCCACGTCGGACTCCCGGTGTGTGGGGCCTGCTTCTCCCTCTGCCTGTGTCTCTGCCTCTCTCTCTCTGTGTGTGACTTTCATAAATAAATAAAAAAAAAAAATTAAAAAAAAAAAAAACATAGAGGTGCAGATATCTTTTGGAAATAATGATTTCACTTCCTTGTGGATCATACGGTAGTTCTATCTTGAGGAAACTCCATACTGTTTTCGACAGTGACTGCACCCCTTTATATTCCCACCAACAGTAGAAAGGGTTTTCTTTGTATTCTCTTAAGCATTTGCTATCCCTTATCTTTTTGATAATTCCAGGAGATTTCCAGTGGGCGTGAGATATACAGTGGGTTTGATTTGCTTTTTCTTACATTTACTTGATTAGTGATGTTTGGGGAAATGTCTATTTAGATCCATTGTCCCTTTCTCTCCCTTTTTAACTATTGAGTTGTGTGAATTCCTTACATATCTTTGGATATTACGCCCTTATCAGATATAAGATTTGCAAATATTTTCTCTCATTCTATAGGTTGCCCTTTCATTTTGTTTCCTTGGCTGTGCTGAGCTTTTTACCTTGAGGTAGTTCTACTTGTTGATCTTTGCTTTTTTTGTTTATGCTTCTGGTGTCATATCTAAAAAGTCCTTACCAACTCCAATGTCAAGATATTTCCCCGTTTTCTTTGACCGTTTTACGACTTCAGGTCTTATGTTTAAATCTTTAATACATTTGAGTTAATTTTTGTGAATGGTGTAAGATAAAGGTTCAATTTTGCTCTTTTGCATATGAATATACAGTTTTCCCAACACCAGTTATTGAGGAGACTATCCTCTTTCCATTGAGTATTCGAGGCTGCTTTGTCAAATATTAGGTGACTATATACACATGATTTATTTCTGGGCTTTGGAGTCTGTTCTACTGGTCTATGTATTTGCTTTTATGCCAATAAAATAGCACAGTAAGTTTTGATTACTATAGCTTTCTAATATAGTGTGAAATCCGGAAGTGTGATGATTCTGGCTTTGTTCTTTCTCAAGATTGCTTTGGCTATTTGGAATCTTCAGTAGCTCCATACAAATTTTAGGATCTATTTTTTCCTATTTCTATGAAGATACAATTTTAATTTTGATAAGCATAGCACTGAATCTGTAGATGGTTTTGGGTAGTATGAATATTTTAACACTATTAACTCATCCAATCCAAGAACACAGGATCTTTTCATTTATTTATGTTTTCTTCAATTTCTTCCCTTAATGTCTTATTATTTTTGGTGTACAGATCTTTCCCTTCCCTTCTTTTATTAAATTTATTCCTAAGTATTTTATTATTTTTGGTACTTTGTAAATGAGATTATTTTTTTAATGGTTCATCATTAGTATACAGAAATAGAACTGACTTTTATATATTGATTTTGTATCCTGCAACTTTACTGAATTCACTTTTTTTTCCCCAATTTTTATTTGAATTCTAATTGGCTCCAGGTGTAGAATTTAGTGATTTATCATTTACAATAACATCTACTGCCCATCACAGTAAGTGCTCTCATTAATATTCATTATTCATCTAGCCCATTTCCCCACCCATCTCCCTCCATCAATCTTTGTTCTATAGAGAACTCTAGCTATAGAGTTAAGAGTCTCTTATGGTTTGCCTCCCTCTTTTTTTTTTCCTTCCCATATATTCATCTGTTTTGTTTCTTAAATTCCACATGAGTGAAATCATATGGTATTTGTCTTTCTCTGACTTATTTCACTTAGCATAATATACTCTAGCTCCATCCATGTTGTTGCACATGGCAAGAACTCATCCTTTTTGATAGCTGAGTAACATTCCGTGTGTGTGTGTGTGTGTGTGTGTGTGTGTACACTACATCTTCTTTAAAAATTTATTTGTGAGAAGAGAGAGAGCATGAGTAGTGGGGGGGGGAAGGACAGAGAAAGAGGGAGAGGGAGAAGCAGACTTCCCACTGAGCAGAGAGCCCAATGTGGAGCTCAATCCCCGGACCTCAAATTCATGACCTGTGCTGAAGGCAGATGCTTAACCAACTGAGCCACCCAAGTATCCCTATACTACACCTTTATCAATTAGTGAATGGACATTTAAGCTCTTTGCATAGCTTAGCTATTGTTGATAATGCTGCTATAAATATCGGGATGGATGTGCCTCTTCAAATCTGTTATTTTTGTATCCTGTGGGTAAGTACCTAGTAGTATACATCCTGAGTTATAAGGTAGTTCTATTTTTAGCTTTTTGAGGAATTTCCATACCGTTTTCTAGAGTGGCTACACCAGTTTGCATCCTTACCAACTGTGTAAGAGGGTTCCCCTGTCTCCACATCCTCACCAACATCTGTTGCTTCCTGTGTTATTATTTTTAGCCATTCTGACAGGTGTGAGGTGGTATCTCACCATGATTTTGATTTGTATTTCCCTGATGATGAGTGATGTTGAGCATTTTCATGCTCATTTCATTCATGTGTCTGTTAGCCATCTGAATGTCTTCTGTGGAGTAATGTCTATTCATATCTTCTGCCCATTTCTTAACTGGGTTATTTAGCTTTGGGTTTCATAGTTTTTTTGGTGAAGTCCTTAGGATTTTATTTATACAAGACACAGCAGCAGCAGCAGCAAATGGAAACAACTTTAGTTCTTCCTTTCCAATTTGGATGCCATTTATTTCTTCGCTTGACTAATTGCTCTGGCTAAGACTTCTAGTAGTACATTGAATAGGAGTATGGAGAGTGGACACCCTTGTCTTTTCCCTGATCTTAGAGGGATTCTTCAAATTTCTATCAGTATGCTTTTAGCTGCAGGCTTGCCATATATGGCCTTCATTATGTTGAGATATGTCCCTTTTATATTGACTTTGTTGATAGTTTCTATAATGAAAGTATGTGGAATTTTGTCAAATGCTTTTTCTGCATCTATTGAAGTGATTTTATGATTTTCATATTTCATTCTATTAATATGGTGTATCACATTTTTGTATTACTTATGTTGAAAAATTCTTGCATGCCAGGGCAAATTCCATTTAATCATGGCCTCTTATCCTTTTAATATGCTATTGAATTTGTTTTGCTAGTATTTTGTTAAGAACTTCTATGTCTGTATTCATCAGGGATATTGGCCTGTAGTGGTTTTTTTTTTTTCCCTTGTGGTATCCTTATCTAACTGGCATCAAGGTAACCCTAGCTCCATTAAATGAATTTGGGAATGTTCCCTCCTCTTAAATATTTTGGATGAGTTTAAGAGGGATTGGCATTAACTCTTCCTTAAATATTTGTAGAATTTATCTGTAATTCATCTGGTTCAAGCTTTCCTTTGCTGGGAATTTTTTTTTTCTGGGAATTTTTTGATTACTGATCCAATCTCCTTAATCATTATTGGTCTTGGTAGGTTCCCTATTTCTAGAAATCCATGGATTTATCTTACGTTGTCCAATTTGTTGTCATATACTTATTCATAGTAGCCTCTCATAATCTTTTGTATTTTTGTGGTATCACTATAATGTCTCCTCTTTCTTTTCTAAAAATATGGAGTGCTTCAGGAATTTGCATGTCATCCTTGTGCAAGAGCCATGCTAATATTCTCTGTATTGCTCCAATTTTAGTATAGGTGCTGCCAAAATGACCGCAAGCAAAATTATTGTTTAATGGGTGTAGAGTTTGAGTTTTGCTAGATAAAAAGGGTTCTGGAGGTGGGTGATAGTGATGGTGGAATAACAATATGAATATACTTCATACTACTGACTGTACTTTTTAAATGGTTAAGATAGTAAACCTTATGTTCTATATATTTTACCACAATAAAAAAAATTAGGAAAAAAGAGACCCTTGGAGGTTAAGAAAAGGGAAATCTTGTTCAGGGAACTAGTCAATCTGGTTGGAGCAGAGGCATCATTAGGGATAGAAAAGGGAAAGGGGAATTTTAAAAGATGCATTTGGGATCATAAAAGAGCTCAGCACAAAAAGCTAAAAACTTACTTCAAATTTAATAGACAAAAGGTTTTGAGGACAGAAGTCACATGATCTGAATTTTCCTTAAGATAATAGGCCATTAGGGTATAGAATGTACTAGAATGATAAGAGACTAAATACAGGGAATCATTAGAAAGCTGTTGCAATAGCTCAGATTAAAGGAAACAAGGATTGACCTAGGGCACTACCAGACAGTATGGAAAAATGGAAATACTGGCTGGAATGCTTGTTAATGTTTTCTTTATTCTCTCTCTCTTTTTTTTTTAAGATTTCATTTACTCATCTGAGAGAGAAACAGAGAGAGACAGAACACACACGAGCAGGGTGGAGAGGAATAGGGAGAAACAGACACCCTATGAGCAGGGAGCTTGGGGCTCAATTCCAGGACTCTGGGATCAGGACTTGAGCGGAAGGCAGACAGATGCTTAACCATCTGAGCCACCCAGGTGCCCCTGATTTCTTTATTCTTTATCAGGTTACCAGTAGTTGTCCCAGTAAGTAATTTAAAAGGCAATCTTCAAAAGTGAGACCCTACTACATGTAACATGTAGCCATATTTATTCTCTCTTGGCACAATCTTTAAATAATAGATGGTTAATAGGAGGTCGGTTATTGAAGAAGAGCTGAGAAGTGTAAAATAACAGTTTAATGAATGGAAATTTAGCGCTATCTGCTGGCAATAGTAGTAAAAGCTTTCTTTGAGTATCAAACCGAGACCATTAGATAGATCTACAAATTGGTACAATTAATATAAGCAAAACCATACCAATTATCAACAAAAACATATCCTTGAAAAAGACCAAGAAGGATGAGAAACCACATCTAAAAAATTATTTTAATGCATTATATATAAAGAATGAGTATTTGACAATTCTTCTCTCTCGTTTGCTTCAATTAATGTCTGAAATACCTAGGTATTAAACACAATACATCATATCACTTGAAACTTTTAGCCGAAGTCTTTTCAGATCACCACAACTGGTAGAATAAGTACATTAAATAGAATTCTGGTGTTTGGGATTTTTTAAACAGTCCTGATAACATATTTCCCTTCTGTCTCTATTAATCTTGAAAGCCCATCATATATCCAAATATATGCACATTTAAACTATATCTTTCAGACTGTTTGCTATATCCAATAAAGACTACAAAATGCTTTGTTAGAACACACACCCTAATATCTTTAAAAAAAAAAAAAAAGGAACACCTGGGTGGCTCAGGTTTAGTGCCTGCCTTCAGCCCAGGGTGTGATCCCAGGATCCTGGGATCAAGTCCCACATCGGACTTCCTGCGTGGAGCCTGCTTCTCCCTCTGCCTGTGTCTCTGCCTCTCTCCCTGTGTCTCTCATTAATAAATAAATACGATCTTAAAAATAAAGTCTAGCTCTGGCTTAAACCACTTCCGCAGTTCTGCTACATCAACAATCACTTTAAGCTCTTAGGACTTCATACACATTAACCTCATTTAGCTATCTTATTGACGTAAAAAGGAAAATTTTAAATCCTAAACTAACACGTGGCTCTATTTTGCCATTTTCTCACACAGTTTCCAAATTATGGAAACACAGGACAATTTTCTGTTCACTGGTAAGAAGTCAGAAAACTAAAGTTTGATTGTTTAGTCACCTTTAGTCATCTTTGACTCACCACTACCCCTGTATCCCTAAGCAAGTTATGCTATTCTCTCTCCAGGTTCCTTTTCTCAATGGAAATATATTCACATTGAATTTGATGATTTCTGTGTCACCTTCTTGGACTGATTTCTGTGATTTCACAACTCTTATTCACTTTCCTAATAAATGTATCCACAGAAGATGAAAAATAATAAAATGGTCTTGAAGTTAGAGTTGACAGTGGATCTTACACAGTGATCTTCTACAAAGTCCTTCCAGATAAAGTAAGTTCACGTTCATGATTGAATTGTCCACCACCTATTTCCTTACCTTTTAGGATTATTACAAGGGATCCAGTTCACTCCAGGGTCTGGGATATCCTCCAAGTATGGGTAGATAGTTTCCCTGCTAAAGTTCCAGCCATAAATACCATCTTCTGGAGTCACAATAATATGTGCACCCTGTTAAAAATGTAGCTCAATTAAAGTATTTCTCAGGTAAGAAAACAATCCAAGAGAGGGTCTGTAAAGGAACCTGAAAAACTGAATGGATTAGCAACAGCCATCCAGGCCTTTTCTTTCTTTCGATCTTAATTTTTTGTGTTCTGTATTTTTGTAATTTTTTTTTCACAATTGCATAGTCTAATCCCACCACCACCTTTTCTCTATAACATTTTCATTCTTTCATAAACATCAATAGCTTATTGAAAGGTTTGCTATCCACTGCGGTTGTTAAGCATAAAACCAATTCTCAAAATCGCTCCCCCCCCCCCCCCACACTTCAGTCAGGTGTTGTATTACAGGATTGATTTATACTCAAATTCTCCATTTTACTTCCTCCTCTGCTCCAACCTTCCCTGCTCTCCAAATCACTCTGTAAAAGTGATTCTGGCTTCTCAGAAGGAGAGCACTCAGACACGGATTCCCAAAAGGGTGCCAAGCCCAGAGGTACACCATGAGCTCACTGGGGTCCCTTCAGATGGGAGAGTCACCCTGATAGCTGCTGCAGCTTTTAAGAAAATAGTTGGACTAAGGATGAAAAAGGACCTCAGAATTCTTCATAGTATTTAAAATGTTTGTATTGTATAAGAATGTATATTGGTAAATAGGAGTTACATGTATGTATTCATGACTCATCACACTTCACCTAATCTCCCTCTATACCTGACCTACAAATATCTTGTTTAAATCATATCCATTCAGGGACGCCTGGGTGGCTCAGTGGTTGAGCATCTGCCTTCAGCTCAGGGCGTGATCCTGGGATCCGGGATTGAGTACCCCATCGGGGTCCCTGCATGGAGCCTGCTTCTCCCTCTACCTGTGTCTCTGCCTCTCTCTCTCTCTCTCTCTCTGTCTCTCATGAATAAATAAATCTTAAAAAAAAAAATCATATCCATTCAAACCAGACCTTTATACTTAACCCTTCATTCAACCCAAGAACTCACTACACATTAACATATGTAGTTTATCTTGTAATTAGAATGAAATATGAAGTACATAATACATATTGTTAAGTAATTTGCAACTTAACTTTATTTTGGTGTTATGAACTAATCCAAAAACCCACACAAGGCTAAGAGCACAAAAGTATACCAAGGCTACTATAGTCACTGCATAGTACCTGGTCCTGATCCACTTATCCTCCACTCTCTACGTATAGTGAAAGAGAGCAGCAGAGCTGTTGAGCATATAGCAAGTTCCTCAAAGATCTCCTGCCCCTTAATGATGATGAAGCTATTATTTTCTTAATTTTATCTCACAATTAGGGAAGTAGAACAGTATCCTTGCTGTAACAATTTTGAGAAGGAGGTAAGAGGTAGGAGTACGACAAAGTTGTTGGCTACCTAACATACATGTTTTCCAAAAGTATAATTGAACTTGACAGGGACCCTGTCTCCTAAGACCCCATCTTTCTCTTGGTGGAATCCAGAGTGCTTGAGAGAAGGTACCTGGTTTGCTGCTGAAGTGATTGCTGCCTCCAACAGGTCCAGATTTTGGTTCATTAATGCCAATGCCTCTTCATGGGACACTGGTACTAGGGTGGCATTAGGCAATTTCACTGCATGCTCATAAACAGCTGCAATAAATGTATCCCGGGAGCTGACTTTTAAGACACAGAGAACCAAAACTGCCACATAAACCAGTAACTGAGAGGTAATCATGCTGAAGTCAGATGACTGCTGATAAAGAGAGCAAGTCTTGATATGTAGAGAGAGAAAACACAATTAATCATGTGATTCCCAAGAGTTAGTACCTTAAAATAAATTATCAAATCTACTCAAAGCAAGCCTTATGGTTTTGCACTATAGACATAGATGTAAACAAATCTTATATAACAAAGGACCCTTATTGCAGGGATTTATGAGGATCTAAAAAGGAAATGTATGTTTTAGTATGCTAGGGTTGTCATCCCAAAGTACCCCAAACTGGGCAGTTTAAACAACAGAAATTTATTATCTCACAGTTCTCGAGGCAAGAAGTTTCAGAGGAAAGTGTCGGCGAAGTCGTTCCTCCTGAGGGACTGCAAGGGAAGGATCTTTTCAAGCCCCTCTCTCTGCATAGATCTCTGTCTTCTCCCTGTGTCTGCACATGGTGTTCTCACTGTGTGCATATCTGAGTCCAAATTCCCCCTTCTTACAAGGACACCAGTCATTGGATTTACTGCCTATCTTCCTCCAGAATGACCTCATTTTAACTTCTATCTGAAACAATCTTATTTCCAAGTGAGGTCACATTCTAAAGGTACAGGTAGTTGGAACCAGAATAGGTATGATCATATTAACTGTCATTAACTAATTGCCAAGACACTCTGTGTGGACAAGCTTAAGAGTTAAAATCTTAGGGAGGTCCTAGTGTCAGGCCCTCAGACTTTTGTGAGATTTCCCTCTAGGAACCCCACCAGATCCTCTGGGAGAACAATGGAGACAAAAATCCCTCTGCCTCATACTTCCTACAGTGGGAAGAAAAATATTCCCAACTTTGAAATAAGCCCAGAGCATTTTGTTCTCCTCAGCCAAAGGCTGTCCTCAAGGGAAACCATTTACCAAAGCATAATTAGCCTGGGCAAAGGGAAAACTGCAACTGTAGTCCTCCAAGCCTTCCTGTTTCAACTTAGGGGAAAAGAAAAAAGTTGAGAAACCCTAGCAAAGGTTACAGCACAGGGGCCCAGGCTCAAGACAAGATAGAAACTTAATCACTGGACTTGATAACCCTTCTCCTGTCCTCACATGTTACCATCTCATCAGTCTGTAATTGTGGCCTACTTAGCATGTACTAGTCAAGAGAAGGTCTTCAGATGAACATCTGCAAGATTTGAGGTAGAATGCCATTGGTTGAAACTGCGACTGGATGGGGACCAACCGCTTCCACTCTGGTGCCTGAGCTGCGTCCTCTGATTACTACTGTCACTACATTAGCTTTGCTAAGCCACCAACTGAGTGCCAAGCTACCCAAATGTAGCCTTTCTGCTCATACAAAGGAGAAAACATGGGGAAATTGTCTCTGGGGGGAAGAAACAATTTACTTCTACCCTTTCAACATCTTCCGGCTGGTATGGAGATTAAATTGACATGAGACATACTAACAGGAGAAAAAAATAAAGTTTTATTGAGTGTGCATGGAAGCCCAAAAATGAAATTGAGACCTAAAGAAACAACCAAAGCAGGCATTTTCAGACAACAACAAGGTTCGGACTACTTTTTAGGTAAAGAGACAATAAATCTGGGACGAAATTGACAAGACAAAGGGACAGGGCCATCCAGGTGCCCCAGCTTATGTATTTTCAAAGTTAAGCCTGTGGTTCAATTAATCATGCAATAAATAAGAGGTATTTTTATGAAAACAAAAGAAAAGCAATGGTTAAGATTAGGTAAATTATAAAACTGGTTTCTGAGTTCTGAGAGTAGCTAGTTTAGAAGATTTCTAGTTATCAGGCTGAAAGCATCTTCAAATAGGGTGAGGGCAGGCAGTGGCAATCCGGCAGACTCTTTTGGTTTGTAGGTCAAGTGTGTCTGGTGACCTGAGTGACGACAGGCACGAAGATGATCTATATATGAGTTGTTATGGTGATTTCTCTCAACTTTACATAAAGCTGTGTATATTTAGTTTGCAGAGCTCCAAGAAAAGAGGAATTTTTACTTATGAAGTGATTCCATGTCAAAATTACAGGAAAAAATTGGAAATGTTAATTAGGAGTTGTGACCAGACATTGAAGGAAACTAGAAAAAAACAGGATCTAGTCTCATCAGATCTAGAATCTGATACCCATAAAGGTATGTTACTTAAATATAATTTTTCTCTTTATAAACACTCTCATTTTATTACCAAAGGTAGCCAGATTAAGATTGATTCATTTATAAAATAAATATGGCGGGGGTGGGGGGGAGCAACCTTGGCCTGATTATATATAGAAGTTCAGCAAGAATAGCAATTGATCATTTTAGACTCTTAAATCTGCTTTGTTGGAACTTTTTATAAGGAATCTCTACATTGAACTTTTAACAGCCTCTTGAGGCCAGAAGCCAAGCAAATATTTGCCACCAGACTGCATGTAATACTTATATATTTGGGTTAGTTCCTCTCTTGTTGAGGTCTGCAAAACATTCTGAGGTTCCTGCACCTGCCAAGAAGTGGCATTCTTTACCTGGAGTGTTTAGTATTACTTATTTGACAATACTTCCCATGTAACAAGTCCAATTAGTTTAATGTCTCTGTTTCATGATGAGAAACAAAATCATTGAAATGTTAGACTGTAGTCAAAAGATGTTATTTTAGAATTTGATTTTGGGGGGCACTTGGCTGGCTCTGTCAGACTGACTCTTGATCTTGAGGTGCTGAATTCAAGCCCCGTGTTGGGTATAGAGATTACTTAAACATAAAATCTTAAAATAATAATAATAATTTGATTTTAGGAAATTTGTCAAAATATATCAAAAGCTTCAAGCATTTAATTAAAGAAGGATCACAGATCATTATAAAACTATGTAATGATTTAGACAAAGTGACAAAAGATTTTAAAGGTAAATAGAGAAGGTTACATAATTGTAAACAAATCTTAGCTCTTTTAATATTAAGGACTATCTTCTTGAATGAGCAAAGATTTGATGAAAACAGAGCATAAAATCTTTTTCTAGGTAGATTACATAAGAAAATTTTGTTTTTAATTTCTAATAAAAAGCAAACCAATCATCTAAGAAAGCTTTTTTAACATAGAAAAATCAAATTCTAATTTTCCAACAATATTCTTTTGATATTAAAACTAACTTAAATATACTTAGCCTAACCTTAGCTATATATAAAATTTTTTTTCAAAGGAGTTTTTTTCATAAATCATGTTGTAATATTTATTTTTTATTTTTTACCCTTGGTTTTTAAGTTTTCCCTTTCTAAATAACTAGATTCACTTCAGGAAGAATTATTTTTGCCCTCAACAAAAATGTATTGCCATTCGTCATACTGTTTCTTACCAAAAACATATATCTCACAGGGTTGTTTCCCTTATAAGTTTTAGCAGCTTTAGTCAAATATGTTAATTACAACTTTTAATCCTTAGAAACTTTAATTTCTAGTGAAAACTAAGTAGTAAGCAACAGTGAATTGTCTGTTTTCCCAGCATTTTTTAGATTGGCAAATTTATGACTATATTTCATAATTTCTAGAAACGTGTGTTTCTTCATAGTACAATCTTTTATTAAGAAAGAACAGAACATCTTTACTAGCAGACCCAAATTTTTAGTTTCTCTAGAGTAACAAGGAAACCACAAGTAGATAAAAGTATGTTCAGCATTTAATGTTTATTATTTCATGTTATTTGAAAATGACCTAGATATTCAGTGAACTTAACCTTATCACTTATCACTTAGCAAAACTTCAAGGTTTCAAGTTGCCAAAAAGATTTGGGGAAACTATTTTAAGCGTTTACCTAAAAATCTTTTTAAAATTATATCTATTCAATTTACTTCTTAACAATTATGCTTAGATTACCAAAAACTATATGAGACAGCAAAGTCAGTTATCCTCCCAAGCTAATTATATATTTTTTAAAAACAGAGATAGTATCAGCTTGACTTTTAAAGATGTGCCTATTTTAATGAAACCAACCACCTTAAATTCACTTAAACACTGAATATTTTCCCAGATCATGGGAACTTGAAAATAAGCGCTCACTTTTAAACCAATTAAACATAAACAGGGCTCTTTTACAAATTAATTTTAGTAATACCATCCAGATGTATAAAAATATCTCACACTTACAACATATATATTGTTAAAAAAGAAAACCACAGGCCCAATATGGCATTACTTTGGTTAAGACTCCAAGCCAATAAACCAAGACTTAGTACCTAAACTAACTGCTGTTTCAACTCCCCAAGAATGTAACCTTTAATCTGGCAACACAAAAAGTATTGGAATTTCCTGGTCAACACAAAAAGTTTATTGATAGACCCCTTCCATTTCCCTTAGAAGGGCAAACTGCCTACAACAATGGATTCCTTGCTAATAACTGTCTTTTTCCACTCCATCTCTACCTTTAAAAACAGTTCCTCTTCTGTAGCCCTTTGGGAGTTCCTTTCTAATTGATGGAGGAGATGCTGCCCAATTCATAAATTGATTAATAAAGCCAATTAGATCTTTAAAATTTACTCTGTTGGATTTTTGTTATTTAACAATGTGAATATACATACAAACATACTCACAGATGTAAACAAAGATCTTACAGCTTTTGTTTTGTGGAGAGAACATTATAGGCCTGATTTTTATAGACCTTTTCTTCCTCTCTTTTTTCCTTCTGGTGAAAAACGTTTTTTTGAAGTTTGTATTTCAAAGAATGGCCCTTAGGTCCTAGGGAAGAGGGGGGAGAAAATTGATACCACAAAGGCACAAAGAAAGTACCCAAGTTTTCTCCAATTTGTACTTTTGGGACATATTGTCCTCTTAGCAGAGATACTAGAGCCTGGGCATAAAAGTCCTTTTAGCAACTTATATCTTTTTTTTTTTTTTTTTTTAAGTAAGTTCCCTGCCCTGTGTGGAGCCCATCTCAGGGCTTGGACTCACAACCCTGAGATCCAGACCTGAGCTGAGATCAAGAGGCCAAAGCTGACCCTGAGATCCAGACCTAAGCTGAGGATCAAGAGTCTGGAAGCTAGCTAAAAGCAATTTATATTTTTAAAAGGCCTCTTCCCCTCCCTTTTTTTCTTCAGTCTCAAGCAATTGTGGATTGTGTTTACATGTCAAAGACATGATAAAACTTATAACTCTAAAGGACAGAGAAAGCATGCAAGTTGTTTTTTGTTTTTTGTTTTAAGAAATTTGGGATAATTGCTATTTTAAAAAATATTTATTTTCTTAGGTACAGAACAATTTTGTTCCAATATCCTGATCTTTTATGTCTATAAAGCATTGAGAGGAATAGGCAAGATTTTGAGATCAGTAAAAATAGGTGGGTTTTGACTTGTTTTTAGAGTTGCATTTCTAGTTGTATAGAAATTTGTAACACAAAGACAATTGTCTTTAATTCCCCCAAAGATTTGGATTGTAGCCTGAATATCAAGGGATTGACCTGCCTTTTTTACTAATATATATATATATATATATATATATATATATATATATATATATATATCAGGGAGATGTTTAACTAAAATGGAGATCAAAAGTTTTATGCCTTCATAAACTCTGTATAAAGCATTTTAGTAAAAGTTTTTTTCTAAGTACGTAATTTAACCTTGGGCTTTTTATTATTATTAGGCCCTGAGAATCATCCTTCCACTGATTAATTGCAGGAGGGCTTAGGAGAAATTTTGGTTATCTGTTTCCTCTGTGAAGGGGGGCTGGGCTCCAGGGGGCCTTCTGGTTTGCCTAATAATCATAATATAATCAGGAGCTGAAAGAAACCTTCCTTAGGAGCCAGTCAAGTTCTCTGTGATTGGGGTTTCGAATAGCCATTAACATTTCTAAATCCTCTAAATTTGGTAGGATCTTTTGAAAGTGGAGGAAAGGGGGCTTTATAATTTAAAAGATCTGTTGCTGTTCAAGAGACATGATGAATTCTGTGTGTGTGTGTGTGTGTGTGTGTGTGTGTGTGTGTGTGTGTGTGTTGGGGGGCGTGCGGGGAGGTGGGTGGGGAGATGCACAGTTCTAAGATCCATCTGCCAAGGTCATTGCATAGAAATGCCTAAAGCTGGCAGAGCCGGATTACAGCAAAGCAAGCCCTACTCCCTGTCCCAGGTACTTCTGCTAAATTTACTTCTTGGCTTCCAGCATTTAGAAGAATAGCCTGTATACTTTGAGCTTGAGATTAAGCTGGACTGCTGTCTAAAATAAATCTTATAAGGAAAGGCAAGTTAAAACTGACAGATCGGGTCAGATTTTAAGAAGGGAAATTTGCAATGGATATAGACATTAATTTTTGCCTTAAGTCTAATTTCTGTTCTTTATCTTGTCAAAGGAGTCCTTTTAAAGCTAGCCTTATACTAATAAAACAATTAAAAGCTCACCATAAAGACTTTTTTAATTTAGCCAATTTAAAGGATTCATCTTTCGGCCATTGATCTTACCATTGATCTTACTATTTAATTATCAATTAATAGTGACTCAAACCAATAAACCTTTTTATGCTTTGACCAAAGATACAAGAGGGCATCCCCAGAGGGGGATCTAGTTTGATGAAAACCCCATGATCCAAAAGTCTACTCCCAAGAATAGTCCAAGAAAGCAAAGACCTTCGGGGCCAGGTGGGAAGAATGATGTGGTGTATCAGGTGTCTCCAGTCTCCCATAAAAGGGTGAAGCTTCCAGTCCCAGACCCGCCAACCTGTGACAGTGGGCAGATGCTACTGGAATGGGATTTTTCGAGCACTAACAAGCAATGAAGGTTGAGATGACAAAGGCTCTTACAGTCTAGGAGCTCTTAGGACAAACTCCCCTGAGAGCTGGCACAACTGAACAAAGAAAATGCTGCTTATAAATGGACGTCTCCGATCCCCAGTCTATTCAACTGGCTACCGAAGTGTACCCCAGTAAATGCACCCGAGTAAACATACCCTCCAGATAGCAGAAACCAGAGAGAATATCCTCATTGGTCACAAAGCCAAGTTCCTAGGACATAGAACAAGATAAAAAGAAAAACTTCATCCAGTTTTTACAAGGGACCCACAGCAAAGTATGTCTAAACAGACACTGCCTGCTGAGAAGCATGAACCCAGCACTGTGTGAGGCCCACTTGAACAGCTGAGAGGGCCTATGCCTGCCTTCTGATTTATGGTAATCCCCTTTAAGACAAACAACACAAAAGACACCACAAAGGAAAACAAAAGCCATCTTCTGGGAGGAAATGGATCACTAACCAAACAGTACTCTACCAAATTTTTACCAAGAGTCGCTAAACTAAAGGAATTAGTTCTACAAATATTTTCTCCTGCTAATTTGAGAGAAAGAGAAAAAGAATGTCATCACTCTCCCTCCACCAGACCCCACAGACAGAGATTCCAGGAGGCTGAGAGAGTAAGAAATCTTACCTTCTGCTGGCCGTATGTCAGATCTCCCGAGATCTCGAAACTGCAGACTCTTCAGAGCAAATATCCAGCGGAAGCTGATCCAGCTGGCCACGCACGCCAACTGCAGGGGAGGAACCGCGTCCTCTGCTGTCAAGGATCTCCAGCTCATAGAAGAATGAAAGGGACATGAGACAGATTAATGCGGGGGGGGGGGTAGTTTTATGGCACACACACAGAGGTCCAGTAATGACATGGAGACCTAAAGAAATGACCAAAGGCAGGCAGGTTTTATACTTCTTAGACAAAGAGGCAATAAATCTGTGAAGAATTGACAGGACAAAGAAAACGACTTGGAGAGCTTCAATTAGTAAGGAATTCTGGACAGAATTTGGGCCTGGTAGTAAATCAATAAAAAGTAACAAGGGTTGTTTATACAGCCTTTTTGACGATAAATGTCCCATGCCTGACAAGAAGAATCTCTTTACCTCCTGGTGCAGAGAGGCCACCTTTTCCAGAAGAGATTTATTTCTTGTCTTCTGAAGACAAGAAGTCAGTGTTTTTTTGCACTGGCTGTTTCTTAAGGAACTTTTATTTAAAATAATCAATATGCCAAAGTGGCACAGTTCCGAGTGGCCTGCCCTGGAACCCAACAGAACTGTTCTATGGAAAGGAGCCTTGATTAATACCACCAGACTGCAAGGATGCAGAGGATTGCCTCTCTAGAGGGAGAAGGGGACATCCCACTGCCGGAGTAGGAAAGAAACCCACCGTGTTGGGACATTCACTGATAGCACCCCAGAGGTAGCAGGCCCCAGAAGGAACTCCTCGACAGGGATTTGTGCCCCACCCCCAGGGGAAAGAACCAGAAATAGGGAAGAACAAAGACTAAATAGGGTGGGTGCTGCCTCTTGCACTTCTCTGACCCTAGTACCTAGCAGAGTGCCTGGTACTCAAAAGACCCAAGGCATCACTTAAGGAATTTTGCCTAGGACTGCCACTTGTGGGACCCAGGAAATGTAACAAAAATCCCCTGCCCCTGGACAAGCAGAGCAGGACTGACTCCATTTTGTGCTACACCTGCCACCTCCCCTATGACCCCCACATGACCTGCTTATGGCTTGAGGCGCTGCCCCACCCTAGTCAAGCCGCTGGGCACACCCTCATCGGAAATCGGCTCCTAACAATGTAACCCTGCTTTGTGCCCGCCAAAACTGCGCGCCGATTCTGACCGCAGTACTAGGCCAGCTCAAGTGGGCCCTAGAGGCTAAGGTGTCATTCAATCGGCCACCTGCGTGTGGACCCACATGACTGTGCAACTTTCTGCGCATCCCATGGGCCAGTGGCCCCTAAAAGCTGCTTCGCCTCTTAGTCTCGGGGCCCAAGTCTCTGCTCCGCTGTGTCGGGTGCACTTGGACCCAAGCCCGAGCTTGTAAATAAACCCTCGTGTGTTTGCATCGGAGTCGGCTCCTCGGTGCTTTCTCGGATTCGCAGTCTTGGGCACAACACCACTCACTTGCCAGAGGACTTTGTAGACTTTACTTGCCTTATCTCCTCAGTCATCCAGCTAACCCAGTTGATCCAGTTGATGCTCTCTGATTCAAGGGAAGTCAGTGCCAGAAAACCAATCATGGACTTACAGGGTTGGAATTTCAGTCCCAACCCTGACCTCAGGGGAGGAGACAGGGCCTGGAAATTGAATCAAGAGCCAATGGCTAATAACTTAATCAAGTGTGCCTATATGATGAAGGGGTTGGGAGTACTTCTGAGTTGGCAAACAAGTGGATATCTGGGGAGAGTGGTGCGCTTGGAGAGGGCATGGGGCTCTGGGCCCCTTCCCTTGCCCTGTGCATCCCTTCCATCTGACTGGTCCTGAGTTATATTCTTTTTAATTAAAATGATGTTAAGAAGAAAACTATAGGCCCATGATAACATCACTTAGGGCCCCAAGTCAGTAAAGGGCCCCAAGACTTCGTGCCTCGCCTGTCTGTAATTTCAACACCCCAAGAATTCACCACCAATCAACACAGAAATTCCTGGTCAAGGGCAGCCCGGGTGGCTGAGTGGTTTAGCGCGGCCTTCAGCCCAGGGCAGGATCCTGGAGACCCGTTATCGAGTCCCGCATTGGGCTCCCTGCATGGGGCCTGTTTGTGTCTCTGCCTCTCTCTCTGTCTCTCATGAAAAAATAAATAAAATCTTAAAAAAAAAAAATTCCTGGTCAGTTCTAGAAAACTTACTGGTAGGTAACCATGCCTAAACAATGCATCCTCACTAATAAATTCCTTTTTTCTTTTTTTTTTTAATGCCATATCTCTGCCTTTAAAAACTGTCACCAGCTATGCCCCAGGACCTCACCTTTATTGCTCACCTGCTTGTATTCACCAACCTTTGTCCCACATTCTTCCTTAAGCTCTTCTTTCCACCTTATCTTAACTCAGGCAAATAGAAACCAGAACTACCCCTCAGGCAATAGTGACTGCCCTGGAAAGATCTCCAGCCAGACCAGACCAACAAGACCAGTTAGAACCTAATCCCTGACTCACAGCTACACAGACCCAGACTCAATGGACCACCAACTACCTTTGCTCATTATAATACTAAAATCTCAAGGAGCAGCACAAACCTCATTTACATAACAGGTAATGTATGGATAGGCATGTTTCCTTAAGGCACATGTGCGACCTTATGCCCACTTTTACATCAGATGAACAGGCCTCCTATTCTAAATATTCATTTTAACCCTAAGTAAGGAGAATCCATTCACCTTTTGCTCAGAGAGTCACAGCTTTGGAAGCCATCCCTCATCATCTCCTTATTTGCTGGAAACCTTTCTTTGTGTGACATTTCAACCTGGTGCAGTTTCTAACTCACCAAGGCACAAACCTGCAGTGGTTCACTTAGAAAACCTGTCTCTTACTTGGCTCAGGGGAGCTCCCCTCTGTTTGCTAGATGAGATGCTGCCTGATTTGTGAATCATTTAATAAAGCCAATGAGACCTTCAAGTTCACTTGGGTACTTTTGTTTCGTTTTTAACAGATTTCATGGCAGCATCAGTGTCTGAAGCAAGATTCTGACTGCATTTGGAAACAGGGGGAAACACAAGTGTAGTGCTCTGTGACCACCTAAGTTCACTGTCTTTATGGCTGTTTCTGAAGGCCGTTGGCAAGTCACTCAGTTAAGCTCTGCTCTTTTTTTGCATTCCAGCTCCTGACCTAATTGGCTTTCTAGTCCAGGGTTAACATATCAGTCTACACTAACAGGAGATTCTAAGGGAGCGCCACTCCTTAGCCCTTGGCTCAGTCCACAATTCAATGCTGGAATTTCTTCATTTCCAACCTGTGGTTTGCAGGTTTACCCCTTTCCCCAGTTCTAGTCTGCGTAGTGGATTTTGCTGGTTTGGCCCACACTGGGAATTGCTGGTATTGGGCACAGCCTTCTCTTGGCCAGTCCACAGTGACAACTTGTGGTTACTGCTGTTGCATTGAGATGCCAATGTTTGTCTTGTTTTGAGTAAACAAAGGCTCAGCTAATGGGATTCTTAAAATCAGAAGTCAAGTGTAACCACCTTCTGGCACACTTGCTTTTTCATATCTAAAAACAAAACTATGGTGCCAGGAGCTGTGATGGTCTACAGAAATGGTAAAAATTTTACTAAAAAACACAGAATTATCATGGCCATAATGGAGAATGTTTCAGTTAGAATGCACTTGAAAGCAAGGAATGCACTTGAAAGCAAGGAATGCACTTGAAAGCAAGCAAGCAAGCAAGCACTTGAAAGCAAGGGTTGCCAAGGTAAATGAAATGGGATACCTGTTTTAATTGGCAAGCAGAAGCCTCCAAAAAGCTTCAAAACTCCAAAACATTTTCTTTGAAAGATCCATTGCAAAAAGCTGATGCAAAATTAAATATATATATGAGGTACTTGTAGGGACCAAGGGCAGGCTGCCCTAAAATGCACCACTTTGGCATGAACATTATTTTGACTTAAGAGTGATCAAAACCCAGCAGATCCAAACTCTCCCCCTCCTTCCTCAACTGCCTCCCTCTACTATGAAAACAGGTATTAATGGAAATTTCTCTTTACCTAATAAATCTATATGCATAAAACGGCAAGTGTTGTTTTCCAAGCATCTCAACTTCCTGCTGATGATCCCTCTCGCTGACACGTTGTGTTTTGGCGACAGACAGACAGGCAGGCAGACAGATCCCTCTCCCTTTTGTATCTTCAGGCCCCTCCCCCTCTTCTTAGCTCCCAGAAGCTTCATATAAGTCTTTGGAATTTCATGACCCTGTGGATCCCTGTACGTATGAAATTAAATTGGATTTTCACCTGTTCATCTGTCTCATGTCAATTTCATTCTTGGTCCAGCTAGAAGGACTTGAATAGCAGAAGAAATTCTCCTCCTCAACACACCTTTGTAAATATTAGATTTTAATGCTGGAATATTAAAAGTTGGAATCGATCCTGAGTTCTTCTAGTGTCCTCCAATGGCTGGCTACAACTCTCCAAATTAGCATTGTTAAATTGTTCTCTCACTTTTCTGACTTGGAATCGTTTAAAAACAAAAACTTCCCTTTCTCCTGAAGCTCTACAAACTGAATATAAACAATTTGATATAAGTTTCGGAGAAATCACAGCAGCTCAGGTGTAAACCGTCTTTGTGCCTCTTGCTCTGTGGGTCACTCCGTAAGGTAGCTGTTGGGCCGGTGGGATCAAGGGGGATCAGCAGGCACCAACAAAATGGTGGCGGACCCCCCACCTTGTTGCCCCCACCTCAGAACTTTCCCATCACCAGCAGACCTCCCGAGGACGGGTCATCAGGGGGAGCCTGGACCTAGGCAGGAAACCTGAACGGTACTTTACCCAGACCCCGTAGAAGGGCATGGGCAGTTATTGCCCCCAGGCCAATTTCACCAGTAATAAGCCTAATACCTGTCACCCCATACAGACACCCAAGCCCTTACTCCTCCCCTCTTTAAAAGCCCGTTTGCCCTCCCCTGCGCCCGCGACTTGCCCACTCTCTCCCTCCCCTGCGGGCCGCAGAACCTCTCCGGAGAGCGCGTCCCATTAAAAATCTGTTTCGACCAACTTTTGCCTGGTCTATTTCATTTCACTACCGATCACATTACACCTGACAATAGCCTGACATATAGAAATCTTCTCTACTGGCTACCCTCAAAACTCGAAAATCGGTTTATAATTTGACCTAATCATTAACATTGCTTTTCTTCTGTTTCCATAAAAATGTCTCTTATTTACTACCTGATTGCTTGAACCATAGGCCTACCCTTGAGAACACACCTGCGTCACTGCCTCTAGAAATGAGTTTAACTAAACTGACCGATTGTGAGGACTAAGAGACTGGTACAAGATCAAACAATCTACCAACTCAATTTTAGTGTGTGAAACTTCAGAGAAGCTTCAGAGGAAGGAACTGTAGGGGCAAAAGGCTGGCTGCCCCAGGATGGGCCACTTGGCAGGAAGGTTAGTTTGAGTTAAAAAAGTAATCAAGTCAGCAGATTCAGTAACAGCTAGAGGATCTGCTCCAGGAAGAGAGCTATCACCATAGATAACTAGGACTTTGTCAAGACTTGAACAAGGTGTGGCAGACAGAGAGGAATCTCACAAGACCTGTTTGATCAAAGTCCCCCTGGGCCCCTTCTCACCCCCTCCCAGGGGCCTAGTAAACATTTGTTTACTTTTTTCTGTGAATTACATTCCTTTTCCTTTGAAGTCCCAGATCCCTTACCCTCCTCTTCTTACTCAGAATGACAGATGTACCTCATTTTTGCCTGCCTTTGGAATTTCCATATGCATGTGAATTCCCCATATGTATGAAATTAAATTTGATTTCTCCTTAACTTCTCAGATCAATTTGATTCCCAATCCGCCTAGATGGGCCTTGAAAGGGACAGGGAAGTCTTGCTCCCCAACATACCTACAACAAAAGATTATTAGATTGATGTAGCTCCTACAATTCATCTCTAATTTCCTTTGAGTACTCGTTCTACTAATTGTCTATCTGAATTGTTCTTCCACTCTGGAAAGGCTACATCATTGTAAGCAAAAGTCTGCTAAGTTAATGGTTTTACAGACACTCCCGTATCTACCTTCAAAGAAAGGCACCCAGAGAGGGCCCCCTCCCAGAGTTGCAAGTGAGGAGTTATCTGGTAAACTGCTACATTATTCCCTTAAATAGCTAAGGGAAAACTCTGGTGGATACCAGAGCTTGTGTATGGGATCCTGGATAAACTGTCAAAAGCCAGTGAAGAATGAAAATTCTTACCAGAATCAGTTCTTCTGAACCTCTGTCTGTGGTGCTCTGTCTGGAAAGGAAAATATAATCTCACTGTTGTCCCTTCATTTCCAAATTCAAACCCATTGTGGATTGTTTTTTTCTCTCCTAGGTATAGCAACTGCCTTTTTGCTTGTCTTGTTTTGGATAACTAGGCTTGGCTTTCAGCCTGCCTGGTATATGCAAATTGTTTCTTTTAGCTGCCTAGGGGAGTGACTTTAGATTTGTGGAATACAGTGTCCTTTGGACCCTCTCTGGCGACCTGTCAGACATCCAAGGGGTTACACAACGCCGCCAAAAATACTTAAAACTATGTACCCATGCAGCATTATTTACAATAGCCAAATTATGGAAGTAACCTGTGTCTGTCAATAGATGAGTTGACTAAAAAGTAATATATGTATATATACAATAAATGTCGCTCGCCCATAAAAACGAATGTAATCTTGACATTTGCAGCAAATGGATAAATCTAGAGAGTATAATGCTAAGTGAAATAAGCCAGTCAGAGAAAGACAAATACAATGTGATTTCACTCATGTGGAATTTAAGAAACAAAACAAATGAACAAAGAAAAAAAGAGACAAAAAAACCCCACTCTTAAATATAGAGTATAAACTGATGGTTATCAGAGGGGAGGTGGGTGGGAGGATGGGTGAAATAGGTGAAAGGGATTAAGAGCACACTTATATCATGATAAGCACCAAGCAACTATAGAATTCTTGAATCACCATACTGCATACCGGAAACTAATATGACATTGTATGCTAATTATACTGGAATTAAAAAAACAACAAAACTATGTACCCAGAGGGAAAGCAACAAATTGAGGATAATGTAGTAGGATAGGTGAATGAACATATGATGTCATTTAAGTTATTGTCCAATTCTTTGAGGAATTAAAAACACTCTCCTTATTTTACAAAACAAAAATCAGTATACTGGTAATTCAATATTTACCTATTCTTTTACCAAATGAACTTCCGTTGTTTATCTGAAAAGCCCTGTAAATTATTGGCCTTAGAAAATCAAAGTCCTTCTTGGAAGAACTTAACTTTTTTTTCTTCCCCTTAAAGTTACACACTTTATCATGCCTCTGCGGTGTAAACACAGCTCACAATTACCGGAGACTGAAGGGGGAGAAAGAGAAGTGTTTTTAAAATAAACTGCTAAAAAAAATAAAATTAAATAAATAAATAAAATAAAATAAAATAAACTGCTAAAGGGCTCATGCCCAGACTCTAGCACAGCTTTCAACTCTACGGACAAGTTCAAATCTTAAAAATCTTCACAAGTATTGGTAACTACACAGTCTTCGCACACATGTGTTTGTGGGTATGTTATAAATACCGTTGGATGGCATCGCTAAAATTAATTTCCAAAAGAGCCCTAGTTAGGTGGTTTGAAGACAAGTGCAAATAAGGATTGATCATTCTAAACCTATCAAAAAGATAGAAACTAACCAAAATCTCTTTTTCAAGTTCATGTCCACATGAGAGCTTGTTTAACATTGTTGGTTTGATTAAAATAGACGTGTCTTTAGAGATATCAGCAACAAAATTAAGACTTGTAGGCTACTGGGGTTTACTTAAAGTCAGATAGGTCAATGTTATCTCTGTTGCAGAATATTTAAAAGAAAGTAGCTTGCAAGAATGAGTGACTTTTTTTAATAATAAATTTATTTTTTATTGGTGTTTAATTTGCCAGCATACAGAATAACACCCAGTGCTCATCCCGTCAAGTGCCCCCCTCAGTGCCCGCCACCCAGTCACCACCACCCCCCGCCCTCCTCCCCTTCCACCACCCCTAGTTCGTTTCCCAGAGTTAGGAGTTTTCCATGTTCTGTCTCCCTTTCTGATATTTCCTACCCATTTCTTCTCCCTTCCCCTCTACTCCCTTATAATGTTTGTCCTTCTCCGATTGACTTACTTCACTCAGCATAATACCCTCCAGTTTCATCCACGTCGAAGCAAATGGTATTTGTCATTTCTAATGGCTGAGTAATATTCCATTGTATACATAAACCACATCTTCTTTATCCATCGAAAGATGAATGGAATGAGTGACTTTGATGCCTCACAAAGTTTTTATGAGTGATCTAAGCATAATTATTAAGAACAAGTAAATTAAATAGACCTAAATAAAATGAAAAATTTTAGGTAAGGGTTTAAATTGTTTTCCCGAATCTTGTTGGTAACCTAAAACCTAAAGTTTTGCCAAGTTAGATCAAATGATGAATTAAGTTAAATCTGTTAAATATTTAGATTACTTCCAAGTAAAACAAAATACTAAAACATTAATTACCAAGTATAGGTTTATTTTTGGCTTCTAATTACAGAGAAGCTAAAAGATATCTGGATCTGTTCATGCTACACTGGAAAATTCAAAAACACATAAACTTCTAAAAATCATGAGAAATATTTATGAATTTGCAAATCTAAAGAATTGTAGTAAAAGAGACAGCTCACTATTATTTAATTTTCACTAGAAACTAAGATTTCTAAGGCTTAAAAATTCCAATAAATTTAATATATTAGGCCACTGGAAATAATAAGGGAAAATATATTTTCTATGTCTATGCTTCTATAATATTTCTATTTCTAAACTAAGGGAAAATGCATGCTTTTGGTAAGAAAAAATTATGAGGAATAAAGACACATTTTTGTTGAGGAAAAATAAAGTAATTTCATCCTAAAATAAGGCTGGTTATTTAAAAAGGGAAAACTTGGGGATCCCTGGGTGGCTCAGTGGTTTGGTGCCTGCCTTCGGCCCAGGGTGTTATCCTGGAATCCCAGGATCGAGTCCCATATCAGGCTCCCTGCATGGAGCCTGCCTCTCCCTCTGCCTGTTTCTCTGCCTCTCTTTCTCTCTGTGTCTTTCATAAATAAATAAATAAAATCTTTTGAAAAATAAAAATAAAAAGGGAAAACTTAGGACAAAATATGAGTGTAAAAAGAAAGTTGTAGAAGGTTTGTGTAAAAGGAATCTTTGGAAAAAACTTTGAATATATTAAATTTATTAGAATTTTTAAATCTTAGAAATCTTAGTTCCTCCACCACTGGAGATTATAGAAGGTATGCCATGCAAAGGCAGCAGAAACAGAATCTATAATGATTGATTGTAACACACCTGGATGAGGTCCATTCTGCTTCCTCAAAAAATGGCTCCTAATTGCCAGGCTTTTGCCATCCTCACGTCCTTATAACATGGCAACAGTTTGCTCTTGAATCAGAGAAATTGAGATGAGTAAACAATAGCTATAAATTAAGTAAATAGTCGGGGCTATGAGAAACCTGAGATGGCTGCTTGCTTTTTCCCAGCTCCTTGATAAACCCCATTTTCTGATTTTTGCATTCCTTCCTCTAATGCATTTAAGATGACTGGAGTTATAAATAAACATTAGTGGAGAAACTTCTATAAAATTGCAAAAACAGTCTACCAATAACATCTAACTGGTCAGACCCATAACCCTAAAAAACTGGTTTTGTCTCTAATGTCCTCAGACCTCCTTCCTACAGACGCTTTGAACACTTGCAGTTAGACTTCATTCAGTTATCACTTAGTATGGGTTATCAATATGTCCTCGTTATTGTATGCATGTTTTCCAAATGGGTTGAAGCCTTTCTCCACCATAAGACTATGCTCTCACAGTGGGAGGGACATGCTAAAAAATGTGTCTCCCACTTAAAATGTACCTTCTATAATATCCAGTGATCAAGGCACCCACTTCACTGAATCATATGAGCCTTAATGAAAACCTTGCAGAGTTGGAATTCTATCAATATATAACCTCCTGTTGATCCCTGTCTCATGCTAGTATGATCACTACTAGTAGGTCTCTAATGCGTTATGCTCAAGCCTGTCATCAACAGGTTAAAGAAGCCTTCCTGGGTCCCAATTCAAAGGCTCCTGTTGGTCACAGTTTAGGGCCTGGTGATCAAGTATCTGAAAGCATCATCAGAGGAAGACCTCAAGCCCCACTGGAAAGAACCTTACCAAGTGTTCCTGACTACTGACACTAACTTAAAGATATTAAGTCTTGGATAAACATCACACAGGTAAAGAGGACTCCACCTGATAATCTGGTCCTATGCAGACACTGGAGACCTCTGAATCAAACTGACAGGGAAGAGTAGCTGATGTTGAGGTAGACTGCTTCTACCCAAGAGGCCAGATCAAGACTTCCTACTCTAAGTGAACATGAAACCACTTCTTCTTTTCCCTTCCTTCACTCTGCCATTGGTCTGGAAAGACCATCTCATCTTTATCTCATAAATACCCTCATCTTTCCTCCCAGGCCATTGCTAAGATGGGTAACCTCTGGAATTTAGAGCAACCTTTTTTTCAGGCTTGGAACCTGAAATCTAGCTACATCTCACTGGTTGACTCCCCTGTATAAATTTACATAATCAAGTTAGAAAAGGTCTACCAGGAGGCTCTCATGATTCAGGATTCAATCCTTTTGGCAAGCTCCTACTTCTGGGCATGGATAAATATGAATGAGGCTGGGATCCGGAACTTCTCCTTAATTCTTGAAATTGTTGTAGAATTCATTGCAAAAGCAATAGCTGCCCACCAAAGATCCTTAGACGCTCTGGCCAAAGGTGTTCTTGATAATAGAACAGCCCTCAATTATCTGTTGGCTGCAATAGATAATTGGATTACCACTTCTGGTGATGCTAAAACTCAATTACATAAAATCACAAAACAAGCCATTTGGCTTAAAAAGATGACTTCTTCCATGGGGGTCTTTATTATTTGATTGCATTGGATTGGATTGGATCCTGGGGACTGATAAGGAGAAGAAAGGTAGGGAAAATGCAGATAAAATTAAATTTTCTTATAACTTGCCCATTTATAAATACCTGAGACATGCAGAGACTGACATTCCTCAAAGAACTTACAGCTGCCTTAGTATTAATGCTTTGTCGGAGATTAAAAGCAACCTTAGCATCAAAATGAACACCAATAAAAAATAAATTTATTATAAAAAAAAAGCATCCTTAGCATGACAATAGCCAGACCTCCAGGATTCTATAAGTCTTCTTCAACATACAGAAAACCCTTTAGAGATTTCTAGTTATCTCTATACCTGACCCTTCCTTCCCCCCAGCCAACTCCAAAATATATAATTCACTTCACAATCACA